CCAATGTTTACTTTAGAAGTTTTCCAGTTACTATAGAAAAAGTCATTTATTTTTACTTTTAAATATAATCTCAACTGTTGCTTGCAATTCTTTAGTTTTCCATTTCCCCTTGTTTAGAAGGCTATGTGACAACAGCAAATATGTTACATTAGAAATTCTAAGGAGTAGTTGTCTAGGTAACAGAATAGAAAATAAATGAAGAACTCTATCTATTAAACTGTCTTTTTGCTGCTATCCACCCATAATTTACTTTAACATGGCTATTCATCATGAAGATAGCCACATAGTAGATGTAACAGACAAGGATAACTGATAATGGCTTGGTGAATGGATTTCAGTTGTCTTTCTTATGATCATGTGCATGCTCAAAGCTGTGTATTTAGCCAGAAAAGTGTGCTGCTCCATACAAGTGAAGGATTTGAGGTTGGGGTGAGTGTGTTTGTGTGTATATGCATGTGTGTGTGCATGTGTGTGTGTGTGTGTGTGTGTTCTGTGGTGATAATATTCATTTATATTAGAATAGTATTTTCAAAGCTATCATAAATACTTAATTCCCCATGACTGGTTCAGTTTTTGCAGTTTAGGTTAATACTATATCTTGGGCTATTTTAAATTCTTTTATGGCATTTATAGTGTACCCCTCTCTATTGCTTACCTCAGATAATCTGTACCTTTAATCTGTTAGTTTTTTTCCTCAATTTCTGTCTCTTGCTTCTGAGAATATGTGATTTATTCTATTTTATGTGACCCAAGAGTATTACATTGTTTCCTTATTCATGATATATTTAAAATGATGATGCTCTTTAGACTTTTACTTTGAAATAACAGACCAAATAAACATATTTAACATTTCTCCTCCCTTCAGTTCCAGGGAATATAAAATGAAGCAAAAAATATCAAGTGTAGATTCTGGAGAAAGATATTATCCACAGTAGTTACATTAATTATTTTTTTCAAGATACAATACAGAACATTAACCATTGAGACAAGTTCAATGTAACCCACAAGTCTCTGAATGGGCTCATATGCTTGGAAAGTTAGTGAATGCAACCTCAGGGCAACAGGATCTGGAAAAGAGCAAATTCTTGGGTATTTTGTAAGATCTGAAGTTTAGTCAATCATTTAAGAAGTAAAAGTATTGGAAGGGAGTCTCCAACACCAACTCTGGCATGTTCTTGATCTGGACAGCATTGGATGCTGTCCTTATGGATTTCTAACAAAGGCAAAGTAATTTGAGTTATAGAATGGAATCACTTTCCCAACTAACTGGAAGCTTCCAAAGCAACAAATTGTCTATTCTGTTTTCCCCCAGGAATTAATTTATATATGTTTCCTGGAGTAGACTCTTGTAGCTTTTTGACTACCTATCTAGGGTCAGTGAATAGGGCCAGATGCAAACATCAGGACCTCTCTACTTCAGAGAGGAAAACAGAAGTTTTGCTCTTACTTGTCACTCTGACCTCATCTGCCATTATTCTTCCACTGTGTGAATTCACTGTGATGAGCCTTTTGAATGCTTTTCTTTTCAGTTTTTTGTTGTTTCTCAAGTAACAGTTCCAAGTAATTTCCTAACTTAAGACCTTTCCAGTGTTTTTCCACCTGATTGCAGCAATCTAGAGTTTTTGTGGTATTTTTTTTTTTTCACTCTTGGTGGCTTAGGAATAGATAGACACTTCCTTAATGTGCTCAATTTTGAAATACTAGAAATGTTCTCATTAAAATCAGAAACGAGGGCTGGGGTTGTAGCTCAGTGATTGCCTAGCATGTGTTAGGCACTGTGTTTGATTCTCAGGACCACATATAAATAAAAGTACATTGACAGCTAAAAAGTATAAAAGTGAAATATCTGAAAAAGCTAGCCAATTGAATATCAAATTGACATGATAATAAAATAAAGGGTGAACATAGTAGAAAAGAGAACAGAAAATAATCACTATGTATAGATTTTGATGGTTTGGATTAGGTATATATAGAAACCCATACCATGTTTATTGTAGCATAATTGACAATAGCATAGAAAGGAAAATAACCTATGTTCCCATAAAGTGATAATGGATAAAGAAAATGTGGTATATAGACATTATAGAATACTATTCATCAATACAAAATAATGAAATCCTGCCATTTACAATTATGTACATGGAAACATTGATTATATAAGTGAATTAATCCAGGTGCAGAAAGACAAGTACCACATGACCTCACTCATATATAAAATCTACAATGGTTCATCTCAACTAAATTGAGAATAGAATGGTAGTTATCAGAGGTTGGGGACAGAAAGGGGGTAGGAGGAAGGGAAGGGGTAAGGGAGGAATGGGTAAAAGTTGATTAATAGGTGCTATGTTATAATTTGATAGGAGGAAGTAGTTCTGGTATACATAGTAGAATGATGATGGAAAACAATAATGTACTGCACATTTTAAAAAGCTAGATTAAAAAAAAATTTGAGAGTTTTCAATATAAAAGTTCAGACACTATATATGTTTAACCTTATTTGAACATCATGAATTGCATATATATATAAAAACAATACATGGTAGCAAACCAATATATGAAATTTTCCTATTTTCATGTATAAGGCAAAATAGATGTAATTTAAATAAAGAAAATTTTTTTAAAAAGAAAAAGAAGATTCCAAAATACAAACCAACTGAAAAACCACTGGAGACAGAATTTTGTATGTTGGTTCATTATAAAGTTAATATAAAAAAAACAATGGTTTTCCTACATATTAATGGAAAGTATTTAGAAATACAATAAAAGGACACATGCCATTTTTCCTAATAGCAGAATGATAACATAAAAAATGAATTAACACAGCAAACAATCACAAATTATACAGAACCTATAGAGAAAATACAACTAGCAATGAATTCTCTAAGAAAAAAATCAGCATATAAAACAATGCTTTTTGGAAATATTGAAACAATAACCAAAACTTAAATTTTAATTTTATGAAAAACTACAAGAGTTAACCACATTGCATTTTAAACCATCAAGATTGTGACAAATTCAGTAGAGAAAAATCAATAGATTTAAATGTTCTTCTTTTAATACAAGAAGACTTAAAAATAAAACATAATTCAATTTAAGAAGCTATGGAAAGCATAAATAAACTAAGAACTAAGGTTTGAAAAAAGATACCTGAGCAGTTCATTAAATTGAAATACCCATTATCGTTTCTCGGCCTTTTGGCTAAGATCAAGTGTAGTATCTGTTCTTATCAGTTTAAATTGAAATACCAGGGCTGGGGTTGTAGCTCAGTGGTAGAGTACTTGCCTTACATGTGTGAGGCACTGGGTTCTATTCTTAGCATCGCATAAAATATCTATATGAAACATCTTCCCTGGATTTGGATTGTACAAAATATCTTTCCTTTTGAATTTTCCATCTCATAATACAGATGAAGCACACATATTTAATGTATTTTATCATTTCTGAGATATGTAATTTTTTCTGATTAAATCAGCTTTGCTATTAATGTACATATAATCTTTGGGATTTATAGTTTGATCAGATGTATTAATCACATTAATTTAGACTCCAGGAGAGCAATTTTGATGTTACTAATAAATATTCAGTGTTCTAGGTGTTGGGCCTAGTATTCTATTAGCTCTGTTCCTTTTATGCTAGAGAAGTAGCTAATCTTTTTGTTTCCCAAATTTTCTTCTAGTTTCTTTCTCAAGTTGTGACTTACACACCCATAGAGTTTATCTTAAAAATTAATCTTGGGCTGAGTACAGTGGCTCACACCTGTAATCCCAGTGGCTCAGGAGGCTGAAACATGAGAATCACAAGTTCCAAACCAGCCTCAGCAAAAGGCAATGCAGTAAGTAAACAGCTGAGTGAGATCCTGTCTCTACATAAAACACAAAAAATAGGATTGTGGCTGTGGCTCAATGATGAAGTGCCCCTGAGTTCAACCCCTGGTAGAAAAAAATAATAATAATCTTGGATCAAAGAAATGAGAAGTCCTCTGTTTTTTCCCTATTAAATATGAAAGTCTAAGTTGAAATACATTTTTATTCTACTTTTTTGAGTGAATATTTTAGGAACCTACAACTAATTGCAAATTCATAAAAATAGGCTAATTTCAATTATCTGGGAGAACTGACCCAGTATTGGAAACTTCTTTATTCTTTATATTAATTACATTTCAGAGATTTACCCTCTTAATGCATTTTAAGTGTACAATACACTACTACTAATTATAGGCACAGTGTTGTTCAACAGATCTCTAGAATTTATTCATATTGCATAACTGAAATTTAAACAACAAATTTCCATGTCTCCCTCCTCCCAGCCCCCAGCATCCTCCATTCTAATCATTATTCCTGTAAGTTGAACTATTTTAGATACTTCCTATAAGTGGACTCACACAGCATTTGTCTTTCTGTGACTGACTTATTACACTAAGAAAAATGTCCTTCAGATTCATCTATGTTTTTGCAAATGACAGGATTCACCTCTTTAGAGGGACTGAAAAATATTCCAGTGTATGGGTGTCACAAATATATCACTTTTCTTTATCTTTTGACTTATCAAAGGACATTTGGGTTATATTCTTATTTTGACTATCTCTTTGAGATCCTGATTTCTGTAATTGTGTGTGTGTGTGTGTGTGTGTGTGTCTGAGAGAGAGGGAGAGAGAAAAAAAATCAAGAGTAAGATTGATTAGTGGATCCATATGGTAGTTCTATTTTTAATTTTTAAAGGAACCTCCACACACTTTTTTAAATAAATATTTTTAGTTGTAGTTCTCAATATCTTTATTTTATTTATTTATATTTATGTGGTGCTGAGGATCGAAGGCAGGGCCTCACTCATGCTAGGCAAGTGCTCTACTGCTGAGCGATAACCCCAGCCCTCCACATACTTGTTTTTAATGGAGAACTGCTACTTCGCTGTCCTTTGACCTAGTCTTTTTTTTTTTTTTTTTTAATATCCAACATGTGTTTATTGGGATGTTTTCCCACTCATCTTGATTCAGGTTTTTTTTAGTGCTGCTTCCTCCTGAAGGAACATCCTCCTGTAAGTCTTGCTTCTCTTTTCCCATAGGCTAGCAGAGGACAGTGAAGCAACAAATACACAAAACTACTGTTTTTGCATCGCTAAAAACTGTGGTGATTTTATAGCATCCCGGGCATTTCACATCCATGAAATAGGAATTGGGGCTCTGCACCAGGCTCTTCTTCTTGTATTTCCTCTTCTCTTCTGGAGAAGGATGAAGGAGATCCTTTTCTAGAGGCAAGTTCTCTTGGAAAGGTTGTCACCACTGGAAAGTGACCTAGTCTTTATTGCTTTTTCTTCTCAGATAGGTAGCAGACTCTTATACTTACAAAAAGGGTGATTTTCATGGATTTAATAAAGGAAAGAATTGGAATATTTGTTGTCACTGTTGCTTATGTGATATTGACATGTTCGTTCAAACATATGACCAATTACATCAAATAATGTTCCATTTGGTGGGGGAAAATCAAGCATATAATACAGAGATTGTATAATAGACAAAATAATGGCTGCTCAAAAATGTCCACATTCTAATTTTCAGAACTTGTAAATATATTAACTTACCTGGGAAAGGCTATTTTCCATGTTCAATTAAATGTACAAACCTTCAAATTGGGAGAATAAATTATAAGTGCGTCTAATCTACTCACATGAGACATAAACCGAGAAGCTTCTCCCATTTGGAGTATAAAAGATTAGGCAGAAAAATTCAAACCAATTCTAAGCAAGAAAAGGACTTAATCCTCTTTGAAAATGGAAGGGAGTTACAAGCTAAAGAATGTGGTTGGTTTTTGCAAGTTGAGAATGACCTCTGGCCAATAGCCAGCATTGGATCGGGGATTCAATTGTATAAACACAAAGACTGACACTGTGCCAACAGCATCAAAGTGCTTGGAAGCAGAATCTTTCTTATAGACTTAAATAATGAACACAGTTTTCTGTTGACACCTTGAGTTTACTTCAGGGAGATGCGTGTTGCATTTCTACCAAATTGTGATAAAATAGGTAGATGCTATTTTAAGCTAATTTGTTAGGGTAGCAATAAAAATATAAGCTTTATTGAGTCCTATTAGAACTCCATGAAAAATTAACCATAAAAGGCACATTTAACCAGTTTCTACCCTCAAAAAGGAATAGTAACCTTTTCCCTTTCTTCTTTTCCTGTATGATTTGTTATGTAGAAAGTCAGGGAAGTGGGGACACGGTCTAATCTTCAGAGCAGAGGCGGGAAAGGCATTTTAAAGTTTACTAGCACTCCATTTTCAAAATGTACTCAGAACAGTAGTATATTTAGTGATCTTGTCCCAGAGCCAGACATTTGGAATATATAATGTTAGCTCTTAAAATGAAAATACCCTTACATTGAGTCAGTGAATTAATTCACAGTTTGACACAATTTATAATTAGCAACATATTTATAAGTGTTATCTACTTGATTCTCATAATTACTTCCGGTGGTAGCTCAGAGGGATAATAACATTTTATAGATGAAGTGAATAAGGTGAAGATGGGTTAAATGTTTTTTAGAGGGTCACAGGAATAGTGTTAAAGCAAGGATTTAAACTGCCTTTGGATTCTATTCAGTGACCTCTGTTCTCCCTTAGAGAAGACTTGACAAACAATAGAGAAGGCTGCTTGGATTTCTCAGTAATCTAGCTTAAAGCCATTCTTTTTCCCCCTCCTTGTTATTTTTATACTTGATTCATTAATCTTTTATCAACAATTGAACTACAGGTTTAATCCCTCCACAATTTTTGTAGGAAAAATTTAAATTCCAAAGGAATTAAAATATTCTTTTGAAAAAACGCATTTAATGTTTTAACATTCAAAATGTTTTCTAATGAAAATTGCTTCTCTTCAAACAGCAGCATAAATATTTTCTTGTATAAATATTTTTAAATATTATTTTCTATTTACTATAGTGTGCTTTTCTAGGATAAAGTTTCAGAGAGTATATCCATATCAGGGTTCCTAGTTTATATGAGTATATCAGGGAAATCCTCTCAAGGAAGTGACCATTAGGGTAAGTTATGAAGGATGATTAAGATTTACCTAAATAAGCAGCAAGAGAAATAAAAAGTCAGTGATCGTAGGCATTTTGACTGAAAGCCAATAGTAGCCTAGAGAAAGGCAGTTACTTGAATATAAAAATCTTCAAGGAAATTCTATGTGATCAGAGACAGAAATATAAGGATATTAAGAAGATAACACCTGGATACTGGAGAGGAGTCCTACTCTTCAAAATGTCCTGTGTAAGACTGCAGGAACCGGGACATCACTTGGGAACTTTTTAGAAAAGCAGAATCTTTGTCCTACATGTGCTAAATAGTATTAATTTTAATTCTAATGAGATATAAATTCATATAAAATAAAGTTCACATTTTAAGTGCAATACTTGATGAATATTGACATGTATATACTCAGGAGGTCATAACCACAATCAATGGAATCAACATATTCATCATTCAAAAAGTTTTCTTATGAGGTGTACAGTGTTTGTGTCTGGTATAATATTAGTACATTTCTTATTGTTTTCCTTTGCTGGATAATATCTTATTGTATGGATATGCCACATTTTGTTAATATCATCACACATTGATGAATATTTTGAATTTTTTTTTAGTTTTTGGTTATTACAAATAAAACTGCTGTGAGATTCATGAACACGTCTTCATGTGGGCATATATATATATATATATTTTTTTTTTTTTCTTGGTTGTATATCTAAGAGTGAAATTGTAGGTTTTGTGTTTTTAAAGGCAGATTCTTAAAACGTAATTTATGTGTACTATAAAGCACATAGATTTCAGTTTACCTTTTTAGACTCTGCAGTTTTAAAAAACATAATCAACTAATCACTTCCACAAACAAGCTATGGAATATGTTTATCAATCCAAAATTGTTCCTATGTGTCTCTTTTCTAGTTGATCCTTCCTTCAGTGTCAAAACATTGGAAATTCCTCACATATTTTTTAGTTTTATTCTTTTCAGAATGTCATATATGGAGGCATACAGTATATAATAATTTTGAATCTATTTTTTAAAAGTTACTGTAATTCAACTGAGATTCTTCAATGTTGATGTGTGTATCAGTAATTGATTTCTTGTTATTGCTGAGTGTTTTCCATTGCATGAATGCATCATGCATTCATTACTTGATGAATTTCTTACATGTTTCTGGTTTTTTATGCTCAATTTTGTTAGGTATTACCTTAGAGTTTCTTTACTTAGTAGTTGTGTCAGGAGATTTATAACAGAGTTCCATCTTAAATTTAGGAGTTGGAGCCCAGGAAAAGACATTCTGATAAGATCTACAAGTAAATCATCTATACTGTAGAATCTAAGTGGTCAAGATTATGTTTTATTGTAAAAATAATTGAGCTTCAATTGTATTGTTAGATTGCATGATATCTATCCTAATATTTTACAACACTGGGCGTGATTTTTACTTCAACAATTACCTTATGTATTTATGTGAAAAGTTGTGAATTGTGAAACTTCTCAGACTATTAGACTCACCTGCCAGTTATATAAAGCAGTTGCTTATTCAGTGATATATTCACCTAATTATTTATTGATATATTTTATCCATAAGAGTATGCCAGCTTGTTTTGGAATTATTTCATCAAATGATTTGTGAGGGTATAAATATCTCTATGCTAATTAAATTTAGTTATGTTTAATAGTATTTTATGTTTTGTATGTGGACATGTTTTGCATGAATATCATGATCACTGATTGTTCAAATTCAAGTGTGAATTGAGCAAACATTTTATTAATTTCAAATATGACACTTCAAATAGAGCAATTTTGTATATTGGTACAATGAATTTTATTTTGAATTTCTGATCCATTTCTTCCATTAAATTTTATTATAAAAATATTAGAAGTAAAGGAGATATGTAGAAGGGGAAAACTACAGTCTATGCTCTCAAGGAAATGATTATCTCTCTTCTTTACCAGTTTTAAGCCCCAGGAGGACTAAAATTATGCTTGGCACACTGCTTACTGCATTGTGAGTTATCAAAAAATTTACGTTGTATAAATGAATGATCAAAACTTAAAAACAGGGGCTGGAGATGTGGCTCAAGCAGTAGTGCGCTCGCCTGGCATCCATGCGGCCCAGGTTCGATCCTCAGCACCACATACAAACAAAGATGTTGTGTCTGCCAAATACTAAAAAATAAATATTAAAATTCTCTCTCTCTCTCTCACTCTCTCTTAAAAAAAATTAAAAATATACAGAAATTAAAAATCATGAACATGTTTTGAATATTGTGGTCTATACTTTAAGAGAGACAGACAGAGTGACCAATGAAGATTCAGGGAGGATAAAAATCATTTCAGAGTATAAGAATCTGAAATGATTTAGTAAAATGGTAACATATGACCTGGAACTTGAAGGAAAAAGGACATCTTCTCACCTTCTCATTCACTTTCCCTTAAGGAAGATAGAATGACTTAATTTCTTCAGAAATTATTAGATAAGAACATTGTATGTATGTTTTTCCCTCTCCCCTTACAGGAGTCAGGCTGATTATAGAGATGGTATATTTTTCCATGTTCTTCCATGACATAAATTTTATGTGATACTTTAATATCATACTTTATATGATTATCTAGTACTGCCTAGTACTGGTTGGGTATGTCTGCCTAATTCTAGAGCAGAGTATTAAGAAGGTCAATTTCTGTTTGTCAAAGACCCAACCCACATTCTTTAATATTAGATATTATTTGTAATAAGGGGATTTTTTTAAAAAAATTGGTTATTGAACCCAGGGTGTATAACCACTGAACCACATACCTAGCCATTTTTTTAAATTATTTTGAGATAGTTTCCCTAAGTTGCTTACAACCTTGCTAAATTCCTAAGGCTGACCTTAAACTTGCAATCCTCCTGCCTCAGCCTCCCAAATCAGTGAGATTACAGCTTTGCACCACCACACCCAGTATAATTTTTGTTGCCTGTCTTTAACTCCTTGGCTCTTTTAATTATTGGTTCAATAATTGCATATGAGAATTAGAAGTGCTATGTACTGACACACTAAAACACCAAGTATCACTGTTGAGAGTCTGTTTGCTAAGTAATTTAATGTATAGTCTTGCTCAGTCTTTTCTAATAACCCTACAGAGTGATACCAATAATAACTTTCATTGCACATATAAAGAAATTGAGATTATAAGAGTTAGACCATTTGCTCAAGATGAATCTAGGCTCAAATATAAATTTGCCTTTCTACCTTA